CACACACGTGAGTGTAGTCTGTGCACACGTGCATGGTGTGCGTGTGCGTGCACGTGTGCATGCGAGCACGTTTCTGCATGGGATCGCGTGCTTGTGCGTTTCTGCGTGTGATCGCGTGTGTGCGTGTGCGTGTATGAGAGAGAGGAGAGACTGGGGGAGGTGGGAAAGACGAGGAGGGAGGGGAGGAGAGATGAGGGCATTTAACCCTTTGTTAAAGTAGAAGCCCCAGCACTCCCAAGGCCGCTCCTCCCGCGTGTGCCCACCTCGCCCCTAGACCTTGTGGCTCGCTCCCCACCCCCCACCCGCCCCCAGGTGGCCAGGCATGCCTGCCCCCGGGGCTCTGACTTGGGTGCCAACACAACCTGGCCAGGGGAGGCATCTGGAGCCTGAGGAGAGCAGAGGCCTGCAGCCTCCTTCCCTGTCGGTGGCTTTTCATTCTCACGTGCAAGTATTTTTACTTCCCAGCCCAAGGAGGCTAGATAAGGGACACTTCACTCTGTCATACGCCCCGGGGGGCGGATCTTCTCCCTGCCTGTCAGCTGTCCTCTGAGGACCCAAGGATTCATGGGTCTGGGCCCCTGTGTCCAGCACCAGGCTGGAGGGCGCTTGGCTGGGGCCCTGGACGGGCCCTGGGATGATGCCCCCCACACACACCTTGGGCAGCTCTCCAAGGCTGGGTGTTGAGGGTGAGCCTCCCTTGACCGCCCCTGCGCCAGGACCCACGGCTGCAGGCCACTTGGAGGCGAGGACGAAGCTTGGTGGAGGCCTGGCCGGGAGAGCTGGGCCAGGGGAGCAGGGCCGCAGGAGCCGCTGGACCCCGATGTCTGTTAGCCCTCGAGGGTCTGAAACCAGCCTGTGCCATCCTGCTTGTGCCAGTGGCCCTCCCCGAGTCTGTGTCAAGAAGGTGACGATCCCGCAGCCCTCCCCCAGCTTGCAGGAAGGGGACCCACCCTCATGACCTCCTCCGAGGGGCACGGGGGTATCAGGCAGCCCCCTGCTCCCTCTGGCCCTCATTATCTGCTCTGGAGGGTTTGAGAATCGCCGAGGCCTTGTAAGGAAGAATAATAAGAACTGAGAAATTAGTGGACGAGGATAATGCAGCGTGGCTGGTGGTAGCAGGTTTCAGCGGAGACCCCAGATTCCCGAAGCAGATGTGGAAGGGGGCACCGCTGCCCGCAGTTCCCTTGGCCTTGGCCCTGGCCCTGAGCCTCTTCCCCCACACTTCGCCAGCAGGGGACGGGATTGTGCGGCGGGGGCTCGGGTGCCCTTGTGGTGCTCCCTGGCCTCGTTTGCGCTGGGGGCACGGGGTTCTCACTGGGAGTCTCTAAGATCGCTGACACAGGCTGGATGGTGTCGCCTGAATGTCTAAATTACTTTCTAGAGCTTTTTCAGAAACCACGGTGGGGGGCGGGAGGGGGAGGTTGCATTCATGTCACGGGGTCGGGGCACCTGCCGCACCCTGCTCCAGACCAGCCGGCGGGGGAGTGGGGGGGGGACCCAGGGCTGCCCGTGGCCATGAGGTCCGGGAGCCACGTTCACCGCCTGGGAGGTTGGGTCTGTAGCGCTCCGCTAAACCTGACGAAGGGATGGTTTTCCGTGGAATCCTAACGGTGTGGGCCAGAGGCTTCTCTGTGTGCTCACCGTAGCGGGTGGGCTGGAGGGAGAGGGGCCGGAGAGGCGGCCACGCGACGGCCGTGGTGCAGGTGGGGTGTCTGGCCCCGGCCCCCCTCGACCACTGCCTGTCCGTATGCGGCTGACCAGAAGCACTTGAGCTCAGCATGTTTTTAAAGGGGGGGGTGGGGAGTCGGCCAGGGGGCTCACGGTATATGGTGACCAGGTGCTAAGTGATCAAATACGTGTCACCTGCTTTTCCACACAGACCTACTTTTCTGTCTGGTGATGCCCACTCCTGAATTTTGTGTTCAAATGAATTTTGAATGGGTATTTTCATGTAAACTTGTGGCATGTGGAAAGTTTCAAATAAAGTGGACTTGATTTAGAAAATCAGGTGATTATGCAGTGCTTCCAGAAGGGACGCTCCCTGACCTTTCCCCTGTGACCCTCTCCAGCCCTGGGGGTGGGCCAAGGCGGTGGCGGGGGGGGGCACTCATCACCCGTGGCTGTTCTGATGGGGTTACCTGCTTGGAGACGGGAGACCCAGTGGGGGACTGGAGGCTGCCTGGGGCCCCCAGGATGCGGCTGCTGGGTCAGCCTTTGCGGGCCAGGGAGGGAGGCTATGGGCCGCTGGAGCGCATTCACACTGTTGGGCAGCCACCACCACCGTCCAGCTCCAGAATGTGACATCCCTCCACTCTGAGACTCTGTCCCTGTGACACACTGACCCCCACCCCCTCCCCAGCCCCCCGGCACCACCATCTGCTCTCTGTGCACTGGACGACTCTGGGAACCTCGAAGGAGTGGACTCACACAGGATTCGTCCTTCTGGGACGGGCTTGTTTGTAGCATCTGTTTTAGGCAGAAGCGTCCTTCACCAGACCTGGGCTCTGGGAAGGGGCTCTGGCTGCAGCGTGGCGAGGGGAGAAGGTGGCAGCTGAGCCCGAGAGACCGGGGCAGGTGAGCAGGCGTCCGGGCAGGAGCGGGGACCTGGACTCGGAGGGGCTGGGGGCCCCAGGATGCTGCAGGACAGAGGGACAAGTGTGTGGGGCTGTCGGGTGGGCCGAAGAGGGCTCAGCTGCACCTCCTGAGCTCCCCACCTGTCCTCCAGAGGAGAGTCGCCTGAGGCAAAATGGCGATCAGGGGGCAGGGGCCTCCATCCTTCCCGACTGTCCAAGCCAGTCGTCCAGGCTTGGTGCGCGCCTACCCACAGGACTCCCCACGATGGTCTGCTTCTGCCCAGAGTCGCTGAGAAACGGAGGAGACAGTGCCCGAGGGGCCAGCAGTGACCTGCCCAGGAGGGACAGGACTGACCCTCTGTGCCGCCGGACCCAGACTAGACTGTGGGATCACAGGAGCGAGAAGTCCC